GTACTTCCATTTTGTACCCATTTATAATAATTCCATGGTGAATTTTTATCCATGACTTAAAAATATAAACACATAAATGCGAAAAAAAAAACGTTGCAGCAGGTTCCAATATTAGACAAAAAAAAACAGTAACTTTAGAAGTATTGATTAACGTCATGTTAAATTAAATTAATGTAATTTGCAATGTTTTAATTGTTTATAATCAAAAAGAGAACAATGTTGTTATGTATAAATTTATTTAACTAGAATTATACTAAATATTAAAGTTAATTTAGTAATTTACCTGTTCCTAAAATACTTGAATCTTTTTCATACTTTAAATGCTGCAGCTTTTATGAGCGTTTGTGTAAGAATTTCTTTGTTCAAATGGAATTACTTTTATATCAATCATTAATAATATCCATAGAAAAATATACCAATCTTTCATCATGTTAATGGAATTATACCAATCTTTAACAATGTTCAAAAAAAATTATTTTTTCAGCAATCATTATATTTTATTTTAAATTTGTTTCAGTTTTAAAAAAGGTTTTGTGAAGTATTTTTTAATGAGTTCTTATAAATGTTTCTCCGTTTTTACCAGTTTTTACTGGTAATTATCGATTTCATTATCAGTAACAAAATTATACATTATTATTTGATTTACCGGTTAAATAATTATTTGAAATTGCAATACCTAGTTGTTATATTTAAAACAATTAACTGTGATTTTTTGTTTAATTTATCTAATCATTTCTTACTGTGCTTCATAAATTTTTGCATTTTAAACTGAGTTCTTTCCCATTGTGCATCACTATCTTTTAACTCTTTCAATATCACTAACTTGAGGCAAAAAAAGTTTATATGTGTTTACCTAATAGAATTTATTTTGAAATTTTTTTTTATTATATTCAATTTGCTAAATGATTTTTCTGCCTTATAAAAAACAACAATAACACAACATTTACTTCTGAAAGTTTACTTTCTAAACAACCATATCTGTTTATAATTAGTCAAAATGTTTTAGATATTAAAGGAGTCAAATAATTTTTTTCAGAAACAATTATTTGACTTTTTTTTAGTCAGAAACAATTTTATAATTATTTTTTTTTTGAAAGATTCTTACACTTTTCTAAAATATCTTTTTTTGAAAACTCAATGTTTTTTTGAAAATTCAATGTTTTTTTGAAAACTCAATGTTTTTTTGAAAACTTAATATTTTTCTTATAGTTAACATTTCTTTACATTTCTTTTGATTAATTTGGATTTGTTTCCAAAACATATATACATTACTTTAAAACTGATGCTCTCTTATCGAATTTGTTTATCGAATCCATAATTGGAACCTAATTCATCAAAGAAGCATTTAAAAATTAGAATGTTTTTTGATTCAAATGCTGTGTTTATTCCCCACTGTTGCGCATGGTCACATTTTTTCAGTTTCATTTCATGAGTTCTAAATTTCTAAACTCTTTTAAATGTCCGGAGATGCATTGTAATACTCTGGTCTTATTTAAATCAATCTGCATACTTTGCAGATTGTTTTAAATAAGTTGGCAGATTAATTATGCTTCCAATATTTTGGAAGCATAATTAATTTGCTATCTCACTTTATGCAAAAGAACACAAACAAATACAAAATCATATTTCTCCATATTAGTTTTAATTTATATAGCTTCAACCCTTTCTTTTTTTTATTTGGTTTGAGGTCTATCTCATTCAAAACCTTTAAAATATCAACAATTCTTACTTTAATGGCAGTAATAGATACCAATCTAGCAGCCCAATGTGTTGAATTTAATTTTTTAAAGTTACTTATGACTTACTGTTTAACTTTGAAAAAAAGGTCCATCTTTTCATGCTGTTTCCAAAATATTTAGGAGAATCGTGTAAAAAAAGAGACTTTATGGCACCTATTAACACTGTCATTAACTACTTAACTCACGTTATGGTTGTTGCTATGCACATATTCTGCATTGGATTAAATTTCTTTTAACCTTGTCTGAAAGTCAATGTATGCACCAGTCATTACAAAAACTTTGTCATAACTCTGACCATAACATTTTACTAATGAATATTTTTATCATTTTTAACACTTAATTCTTTATTTTTTGCAAAATGACCCTCCAGTTTAAAAACTCCTAAAAATGTTTTACTTTTTAAAAACTAATTGGTTTTTAGTTATTGTAACAAACAAAAAAAATGAAATGTATTTGTTTAAATAACTTTCAAGATCAAAAGATAAAATAGCACTTTTTTTTTTTTTTTTTTTTTTGGGGGGGGGGGGGTTTATCATCACCTTTACAATATCTGTCATTTGAGCTTTTATTTTGTTCATCATTTAGGTTTGTATCAATTTCAAAATTCCCAGTTAATTTAGATTGAATTATATTATTCAAAATTCTTGGTTCAGGTACCTGAAAATTTTCTTCATTTCTTTTCTTACAGTCATAAAATTGTTAAGCCAGGATTTTTTTTTAATTGTTTCTCTCTTTTGATTTCTTTTTGTCTTTTAATTATCTTTTTTGTGCCCCACTCATAAATATTTTCTTTTTTTCAAAAAAAGATTTCCTAATCTGTTTTCACGTCCAATGAAACGTGGTTTCACGTCCAATGAAATGTGGTTTCAATTATAAAAAAGTTCAAAACATCAAATTGATTTTATTTAGATATGGTAAATGTTTCAAATCAAGTTATTTCATCTATAATTTGATTTAATGTGTTTAGTAAGATTCTATTTTTAATTTAATGCTTGAGTAATTTTAACGGATGAAATAAAAGTTTGTTTATAGTCATTCTTCCAAGATTTTATAATTTTCTTTATGATAAATGCTATACTGTATGTTTTTTATATATTTTAAAGTTTTAGTATCTGAATAATATCAATGATTTAACAAATGTTGACACCGGCCAACTATTGGTAATCAAACATAGCAATTTCCTCAAAACATAAAATAAATACATTAAGGAGTATCAAATATGTTTCTGAGAGCATGAAACAATCATTAAAACCCAACCACAATAAAATAATTTATTAATAAATTAAAAAAGTGATTATGTAGTCATTTTTTCAATTTCAAAATATAAACAGAATATTTTTTAATTCTTGTCTCTTGTAAAAAATTATGGGGCAAAAGAATCAAAATTTTAAGTTCAATTTAAGGATGACTATCTCAAGTTGATTGAAACCATTATATCTACAAGACCATCATAATGAAAGTTAAAATTGAATGTCAAAAGTTGTCAAAGCTAAATGAGGGATCTGGGTAGCTAACAACTGCACAGAGGGATCTGGGAAGTAACTGACAGTTAAAATAGAGTAATAAGGGATTTTCTTGACAACAAAAGGAAATGGAGGAAAAGGTTTAATTGATGATTATTGGGTAATCAAACAGTATAAGCTTTTAAATAATATAAAATATTTTATATAAAATATATAAATAGATCCGTTTTTATAAAATATATAAATAGATCCGTGCGAGTTATTGTCAACAAGTCTCAATTATATTTGATAATTCAAGCTTTGTTGAATTTTCAGTGAAAACAATGAACATGTTTTTTAATGTGAGTTTTGATCTTATCTTCTATATCATATCAAATCGTGTTGATATGATGTGTAGAAGATAAGATTAAGGCTCATGGTGACTGATCTCTGGCATACAATGTTTGAAAAACAACAATTATTGAAAAATATATAGATTTTTTTGGATGATTTAATTGTACATCGAAAAATATATAAATATAGTATTAAATATTTGATTTTAAATCACATTTTGATATTGTTGTTATATATAGATTAATGTTACACTTTTTATGTTAAATACAAGTTTGTGATTGGTTAATGGAATTTCAATTTATCTATGTATCAATTAGTTAAAACATTTTAAAAATATAATATTTTGTTGTTATTGTTGTTATTATTAATTATTTATTGTTTTTAAATTAATTATTTTATTCTTATTATTAATTATGTTATTAATAATTATAATACTATTATTAAATATATTCTACAAAGAAAGAATAAACTGTGATATGGGGAAAGTATGCAATCTACAAAGAAAGAACAAACTGTGATATGGGGAAAGTATGCAATCTACAAAGAAAGAACAAACTGTGATATGGGGAAAGTATGCAATCTACAAAGAAAGAACAAACTGTGATATGGGGCAATCTTTTCTAAGTGAGATCTAAAATAAATCAAACTCTGTGCCAGTCAAAAGTCTGTACACAAAGCCAGTAGCATTATAAAAGCGATTAAGCAGTGTTTGTTGTAAGAGTTCATGAAAAAATCTGTCAATGAAAAACTTGTTTAAAAGAACCTATTATTAACTTAAGAAACTCCCAAGAAACTTTTATTATTGGGTAATAACTTAAGAAACTCCTAAGGGATCGTCCATAACTTACGCAACGCTAAATTTCACTAATAAACAAAACAAAAAAGATAATAAGTTTTCACTAGCAGAGCCTCAAGTTGAATAAAAAATCAAAATAGCAAATTAAATTTAATAAAAAATACCGCGTAAAAGTGCTTAAGATCTCCTACATCTATTTTTTAAGCGTTGCGTTGGACAATCCCTAAAGAACTTTTAATATTGTGTAACTAATTTAAACTCTTAAGAAACTTTTAGTACAAAACTAGAAAAATATAAGCCATAAAAAAAAAACTCTCTAGCCCATTTGCTTGGTTTTCTTTTACTTTTGAAACGTGTATTTCTGGCATATTATTATTGATGTTAATAAGATCAGGAGTAGTGCACTCTAATTAGTTACCCCACGGTTACACAAATATATAAATACACACTAAACAAATAATTATATGAATACACACTAAACAAATTTATGAAAAAATTCAAAAAGGTTTTTTGCGATATTTTTTCTTATTTGTACAATTTTATTTATATATACTATTTTTTCTTATTCCCATAAACTTTTTCATCCTTTGTTTCTCATATTATGCCTGCATGAAAATGAATAAATATAAACACTAATATACATTTATTTATGTACATATTTATATATAGGAGTGCGATTCGACTAATTTAAATGATATCACTGGCGATAATATTGATGGTGGTGATAGTGATAAAAACTCATGTGGAGACGCTAGTGGTACACAAGTTTCATTTAACAATTCAAGCTATGAAATTTATTCATCTAACATAGTTAACTCTAAATCGGATCAATCCAAAGAGATAGCTGATTCTTTAAAACACACACAATCACATGAAGTCATGCTAAAAGTTTTAAATGATTATGATATTCCTGCTACTAACAGTTGCAATGATGAACCTGATCCTGACTCTCAAGTTCACCCTGCTGCGTCATTAGATACTATAGTTATTTCAACATTACCTGTTAAAACAATAAATGATGCGTGTTTTTTTCCCAGTGAAAAGTATGACACTACTGATTACAATTTATCTTCCACAGATAAAGATAAGGTTGCAGAAAATAACGATTATAGTTCAAAATCAAATGAAACTAATTTCGAAAAAGTATTGAACAAAAATCTCAAAAGACATATAAACCTTGAGGATGATATTTCCAAAAAAAAGAAAAGAGATTTAAATTTTTGAGTGGTGATATAGTTGTGATATATACTTAAAAAAAATTTTTTTGCCATCTATATATTCTATAGCAGAATTCTTTTTTTTTTTTTGATAAGTATGCAAAAATAGTTGATTTCATATAAAAAGACGTAATTTTTATCTAAATGTTTATTTGTACATAAAAATATCAGCCTGTTTGTTAACAAAATCTTGTAAATATTATTTTTTTCATTTGTCTTTTTTTTATTCATGTTCAGATGCGGTTCTGCAAATAAATGAGTAGGGGAGAGGGGGGACAGAATCTTTTAATAGTACCGACTGGTTCCTTAAAAAAAATAGTTCAGCATTTTATTCATGAAAGCTGTTTCTGAAACTTATTTGCAATATACTTGCTTTGCAACTTTTAACAACTATATGATTCGTTAGATAATCTAACTGGTAATATTAAAAAAAAATATTTTTTCTGTTTTATTGTTTGATGACCGAAAATATATATATAGGCAAAAACATTTTGGCAATGAAACTAACAAAAACCTCTATGTAAACGTATTATATTGATAAATGAGCTGGCGACTGAGAAATGACATAGAGATGTCATTTGTCGTTAGAGTTGTCACATGTCGTTAAGAGAACGATAATAACAGCGACATGAGTTGCTAGCTACGTTTCGTTATTGACAAGCAGGTGGTAACTCTTACTATTGAAGACTCATTTGATAGCATAGGTTACAGGTTAAGAAATATGTTTTAGCTCCACATGTTAGGAACATGTAGATTAAAAAAAAAACTAAACCATCCTTATTAAAGTGTTGTTAAACAACAAATATGGTGTTACACAAACATCTCAAGAATGATAATTTAAATTTCTTGAAACTAATTAACGTTGTCAAGGTGATTTTTATATATTTTTCTCACTGTATAAAACTTACTTTTCTTTTACTTATAAACTAATTATTTGTCTTTCATCTACTTCTTATAATAATGCTATTATCTATATTAAAATATTGTAATCATACTTTGCAACATTAAATACAAATTTGATACAACAGGTGAATTTTAAATAACGCGAGAGATTTTTATTTATTTTTACCAAAATTTTTTTGTTATTTGTAGTTTTAACTTTCTAAAGTATGTTGAGACCTAAAATGTTACAAATGTATCAAATCATTGTTGTTCTACTTATTTTTTACTAATTATTTTACTTTTATTTTGCTAATTGTTGTATTTAGCTATTAAGCTACGATATGTAGTTATCAACATGTTGTAGTAATATCATTAGATGTGAATTTATTTTCCCTAAGTGATAGTTGTACCTGGTATTTGAACGCAAATTATATTTTTCGAAAACGATATCAAGAAAGTATCTGAAAAAACGCTTGGTAGAAGGTTGTTCTTATACATAAAAGTTAAGCTTCTCAATATCTAGAACCATCATGCTTTTCATCACTGGGGCCGGGTTTACTAACCTATTTAAATAGTTTATTACTTTGCATGCATGGTTTTGCAGGCTTTGCAATTTTAGCAGTTTTGTTTTATGGGTGCTGGCCCATACAGTATTTGCGTACAAAAGTTGACTATGTACAAGACTAAAGTAAAGCATATTACGCGACTTACTATCAAGAAAAGGTCTCGACTTATACAAAACGCCTATTACAGAGGATATTTTTGTTTCAAGGAGACCAATATGGTTTCTCCATGACAAATTTTCATCAAAAAGCACTCCCAAAAATTTTGTACATTTTTCACGTTTGATTTCATTTTTATTAATAAGCAGTTTAGGAAGCTTTAAAGGGAGATTAATTGATTGTTTTTTTTTTTATGAAAAAGGGTAAAACTAGTTTTTTTGACAATTTAGGGATAATTTATTGGCTATGAACCAGAGGTTGAATTTATCAAGTTTCAAACAAAGTCTTTGCATTAGGATGATTAAAAAATAAATTTGTATCGTCAGCATACATAATTGTAGATATTTTTTGGGATGCTTTATGCATATCGTTAATATAAATTAAGAACAATAATGGACCTAGGATTGAATTCTGTGGAACTCCACACGTAATATCGAGGGTTCCTGAATTTTCTAGTAATAAAAATTGCTTTCTGTTAGACAAATAGCTTTGAATCCACTTAAATGTTGAGCCTATTATACCGTAGTATTTTAGCTTGGAAAGTAAAATACTGTGATCAACCGTATCAAAGGCCTTGGAAAGATCAACAAAAACTCCTAATACCAGCTCATCACTATCAAACGACTTAAATATTTTGTCAGCAAATTTAATAATAGCATGTTCAGTAGAACACCTACTTTGAAATCCAAACTGATTTTTATATAATAAATTGTTTAATGTAAAGTAATTGTTTACTCTGTTATATATTATTCTCTCAGATACTTTTGAAAGTACTGGAAGAAGAGAAATAGGTCGGTAGTTGGAAACATTATTGCAATCATCTTTTTTGAGAATTGGATTAATTTTGGCTAATTTAAGTTTGTTAGGGAATATACTTTTTTCGAATGAAGATGATATTAAATAAAATAATGGTTTACTAATGCTGTCCATTATATAAATTGCTACATTACTGGAGATACCATCATATCCACATGACTTGTTGCGTTTAAGTTCGATCATTGCTTTATTAAATTCAATTTTACCCAGTGAGCACAGGACGTAAAAAAGACGTCCTTTGGACGTTCAATTAGCGTCCGTCCGTCCCATTTAAATTCTAAACGTCTTTTGAACGTCTTTTTCACGTCCAATAAATTTTTCGTCCAAAAAAGATCCAGAATGCTTTATTAAATCAAAATTAATTTAGTTAAATCACGCAATCTTCAAGACATTTATTTATTTTTGTTAATTAAAAACGCATTTTTAATACAAATGTAGAAGAAACTTTCAAGCGTAAAAGAACTTTCAAATGTAAACTTACATTTTTTTGTGGCATTTTGAAATAATGAATGAAGAGTGACTAATAGACAGGTTTTTGCTAATTTATATATATACACAGACACACACACACACACACATTATATATATATATATATATATATATATATATATATATATATATATATATATATATATATATATATATATATATATATATATATATATATATATATATATATATATATATATATATATATATATATATATATATATATATATATATATATATATATATGCAGAATCATTTTTTTCAAAAGGAAAACCTATTAATGATACAGAGAGTTTATCCTGATAATTTACTAGAATTCAATATCTTTATTTAACAACTTTTAGATTGTGCTATTAAAAATTATCAGACCAGTATATTAGTTAATGAATTTTTTGAAATATTAAAAATCCAAGGTTTGAAACTTCGCGAAGATGCAAGAAAAATTTTTGAAAACACCTAACTTTCACTGCATCTTCGAGATTAACAGTTATTCACTGTTCCTAAAAAGTGTGGTAATAATTACTCTTATTTTGAAATACAGGCAAGTATTAAAATCATATTTTTTTTGAATTTTATAATGGTTTACCTTTATTTTAATTCTCTAGTAAACAGCTATGGCCAATATTAGCTTGCTTTGATTATTTTAATATTTTTATAGTTGGCATTTATTGTAGTGAAACCAAGCCTAATTCACTAACTAAATACCTATTTTTTTCTTTGAGTCAAGTCAATAATACAAAATGGTTTTATATACAATAAAAAATATAAATTAAAACTATATAAAATCTTATAATGGTTACAACTTTTGTGAAAAGTGTTCTGTTTGTGAAACTTATGGAGAAATAATTGTGTTTAATAAATAAATTTTTTACACACCTCTCTTATATAAATCAACTGTTATGACTGGTTTATTTTTTTAAATTAAACTCATTTGAATCTTTTCCACACAAAAAAAATCACACAAAAGAATAAAGGCATTAGTTGTACCAGACATTCCAAAATCTGTTTTAAATAATCCTTTGAAGATAGATGTAATTAATTTCGCTATTTTATTTTTCGTTCTTTAAAAATTCAAAATAAATATATGTATATATTTTTTTATAATATCTTCGCAAGATAACGATTGACAGACGACTTAAAAGATTGCGAGTTATATGAATCAGGAAAGCAAGATGAAGGAATCGAATTCCAAAGAACTGATGTTCGAGGAAAAAAACTAGACGAATAACAGTTTTTGGAGCACTTAGGAACAGTAACAGAAAAAGGATGAAACTTAATTGAATGACAAGTAACACAAGAATGAATTTTAGTAGATGGCACAAGAGGCGCTAGCTCTTTAGAGCAGTGACCATTATAGTATTTGTAGAAAAGAGAAAGAGAAGAAACATTACGACGATGTGACAGAGGTTGAAGGTTGGCTGCAAAAGCAGGTCCAACTATGTTTACAATGCGTTTTTGCACCTTGTCTAAAAGAGAAAAGGCATCATTAGAAGATCCGCATAAGATATGGCAACAGTATTCCATACAAGGTCGGATTTGAGATTTATAGAGATAGAGAATAGAATCCAGAGTAAAAAAGTGTCTAGCTCGATAAAGAGATGCAACTTTAGCAGATGCTAATTTTGCAACGAATTTGATATAAGGTTTCCAAGAAAGATCAGAAGTGAGAGTTAATCCTAGAAGATGAAGGGTAGATAACTCATATAAAATAGGGTAGATAACTCATATAAAAATAAAGGAAGGTCTAAATTATTGCGATAATGATTGGCTGAAAAAAATTGAGTTTTATTTGAATTAAAGTTCACCAGCCACTGTGAGCCCCATGCTGTAGCAGAAGTGAGATCCTTTTCAAGCTCAAATGCCCCCTGCAAGTAATCAGAGGGAGTTGGCTTCTTATCGTAACAAGAATAAATGGTATCATCAGCAAACAATGCCACCTTAGATGTGAGAATATCTGGAAGATCGTTAATGTAAATTAAAAAGAGTATAGGGTTAAGGATTGAACCTTGAGGAACCCCTGAGGATACTGAATAAGAAAAAGAGTGTTGTCCATCAAGCACAACTTTTATACTACGATTGGAAAGAAAGGATTCAATAATCTTAAAGATGTTTCCAGATACATCGTAAGAAGAAAGTTTATGGAGAAGACCAGCATGCCAAACTTTATCAAACGCTTTAGAAATGTCAAGAGCAATGGCCTTAATCTCTCCACCTTTATCTAATGCACGATAAAACCTATCGGTTTTTACTGTTAGCAAATCAGCAGTAGAACGAGAAGATCAAAATCCATATTTATGATCAGAAAGTAGGTTATGAGGCTCAAGATGAGAGATTAAGTGTTTGTTAATTAAAGATTCAAAAACCTTGTTTATGATTGGAAGAAGACTCATGGGACAATAGTTAGACGAATCAGATCGCTCTCCAGAATTTTTGAAAATAGAGATAACAGACGGCTATATCAGGTAGAACGCAACTAGTGGAGTCAAGAGATGATATTGATGAAAAGTTCTTAGCAAACAATTCAGCTTTTTCTTTAGGTGAGGTGACAAAGTCTGAACTTGATAAATAATTATAATTAAAATTAATATTTATATTTATTATTTGATAAAATTTATTTTTTAGTAATTTATCCAACTTCAAATTAGAATGAGAAAAATGTATTTAAAGATGGAAAAGAGATGATATTTTTTTCTATTTGAATGAATTTTTGATTATTTATGGTTTTTAGTTTTAACATTTAGTAAAAAATATATATAACACAGCAAACATTTAAAGAGGAATTTCAGCGAGGCTATATAGGCTTTGTAGGTGGTTGCAGTTTTGGTCATCATATACTTAATGGACCATTAGTGGCAGCAGCCAAAAGTGGATAACAGGATTAACCACTATATCACTTGTTGGAATGTTATCGGCTGGCCACTTTAGTAATTTACTAAGTAAAGGATGAGTTAAACTCCATTTAACTGCTCAGAATGCTTTTATAGGTCCACTGAAAATCTACTACAACAATGTTTGCTGATAAAGTTTCAATATGTAGTTATTTGATTATTGTTATTTGATTCAGGGTTCCCAATCCTCCTTAAAAACCTTAAATATCCTTGGAAAAAAAAAAGACATCCTTAAAAGTCTTTAAATAATCTTTAAAAAAAATAAAATTTGACTGTTCTCCTAATTTACTTTTCTATAAATTTTTGTTTTTTTAATTAAAAATTTATTTATAAAAATATATAATATATATGTATTGGTCACAAAAACTTCTATTATGTAATTAACTCTTTACTTTTGAGTTGAATTTTATACAATATTCCAAGGGAGTTGTCTAGTATATAGTTTATATGAGTATATATATAAATATATATATGTATATATATATATATATATATATATATATATATATATATATATATATATATATATAATATATATATATATATATATACAGGCTTGGTCGGGAAGCGGGAGCGATCGCTCTCGAATACTGACCACGGAAATTATATTTAGTTGCGTAAAACTGGCCAGGTTTTTTAGTCGTTTTGAGAACATTTAAGTTTATGTCACTGATCTCTATAATAACTGGATAGCGCATCTCCTAATAAAATTTCGAAATTTTTGAAGCCAAAAGACGCCATATTGGAAAGCCCCAGAATTTATAAATCCGTAGTTGCGTTAAACTTGTATGCGCTTAAAACAGATTTCGCTTGATAAATAAAAAATGCAAAAACCATATAAATGCATTGATTATTAAAAACCGAGTAAATCTGATGATATATGTTCAGATTATTTCATGGAGAGTGACATAAATATATAATATATATATATATATATATATATATATATATATATATATATATATATATATATATATATATATATATATATATATATATATATATACATATATATATATATATATGTATATATATAAATTATGTATACAGGGTGGCCAGCCACTTTCAAGAATTAATTCTTTCAAGAATTAAATTCCCTGACTTTTTATATTTTTCCCTGACTCAGTTATATTTTGAAGTGTGAACTTTTAAGTTTTGTTGTTTGGGAGTAAGTAAAAAAAACCCTTAAAAAAAAATTAAATTTTCAAAAAAGAAATTTTTCCCTGATTTTCCTGACTAGAAAAAAATTCCCTGACTTTTCCATGATTTCCAGTTAGCTGGCCACCCTGGTATAATATTATTATAATAGCATGCAAGTGTAAAGCCACTTTCAAGAATTAATTCTTTCAAGAATTAAATTCCCTGACTTTTTATATTTTTCCCTGACTCAGTTATATTTTGAAGTGTGAACTTTTAAGTTTTGTTGTTTGGGAGTAAGTAAAAAAAACCCTTAAAAAAAAATTAAATTTTCAAAAAAGAAATTTTTCCCTGATTTTCCTGACTAGAAAAAAATTCCCTGACTTTTCCATGATTTCCAGTTAGCTGGCCACCCTGGTATAATATTATTATAATAGCATGCAAGTGTATATTAGTATGCACCTTTTGATTCTTAATTGCCCTCTGCAAAATGCCTGAGGCTTGTAACATATTTGCAAGGTAAACAGCTTACAAGTTTGCTGTATGAATCATTAGTTAGGCAATGTGATTGTAACACAACCTAAAGGTTCCTTAGGCAACATATAGCAAATCTTTATATTTACCTTTAATAATTTTGTTCTTGCGTATATATATATATATATATATATATATATATATATATATATATATAAATTAACTTAACGCTTAACTGTCGAAAATTACTTTCAAGACATTTTTGTAAATGCCATAAGACATTTTCACAACACCAGAACATTTGTATAAGATATTGCAATTACAAAAGAATATGTTAAAGTAAAAAAATATAAATAAAATAATAGTTAGTTCTATCATCTTGAACAAAATAATCATTGAATAACTTGTATAAGCATTGAATAACAAAATAAACATTGAATAAAAAGGTATTATGTGGTAGGGAAAAGTAAAAAAGTATGTACACTTAAAAAAAAATTGTTTACCTTTCATTTTGGTCTTTTATGTTGCTTATTTGTTTTCACAAGAGATATTTTAAATATTTATTAATTATACAACTAATATTTATCAGTATAAAACTGATAGATGTTAGCTGAATCATTATTATTTTACTTTAGAGTCAATAGTTGTAAAGAAACTTGAAAGAAACCATGTCTGTTTTCATTTATACCATATTTACATATAAACAATCAACATGTATGTGATGCTGTTATTTAGTCTAAAACACTAAATACTTTAATGTAAAACTGCAAATAACTAGTTATCACCAAATATCCAGTGTTTTTTAAAGTTAGAGATGGCTTTTTCAAACCTTCACAAAGTGTAATTAAAGTTAGCAAAGCATCAGAACAAAACATTGTTATTAAGTGATATCAATTTTAATAAAGTATTGCATAGTTGATGATATTTCAGTTGTGGAACAATATAAACATGCCCTCAGTTTCAAAAATTAGAAAACCATTTACAAAAATGTTTGATACAATGTTTTTATCATGTTTCATACTTGTAATGTTACTTTCCAGCTACTATTGCTAAGTAAGGTCGCATCAAGATGTTAAAATAAACACCCAAAAGTAACCAGATCAAATATCAATTTGTCTTTTAGAAAAGTTTTATTTAGAATATCATGAATTCAATAAATTTAACAAGTTCATAGAAAGCAATACAAATTTTATTATTTCTTTATAGCGATATTTCTCTTCGTCGTTAATGTTTTGCGTGTTTTTGATTCCCTTTTATAATTTTTACACCTTTAAACATTTTAAATATAATAATATCATTGAAATATGTGACTTGGTCGAGTAGATATAAACGAAGTAAAAAGGTACATCTTCAAGCGCAATCACTGTATTTTCGGTATTCTGGGGCTTTCCAATATGGCGGCCGAACAAAATATTGGCTTCACTTTTGATATTAGAGATGCGCTATCCAGTTATTATAGAGATCAGTGGTTTATGTACGAAACAAAAAATTTTTGTTTTACGGACATACATGGAAACATAAAAAAACTTTAATGGTTCAAAAAATACGCTGTTTAAGCGAAATAAAGTTCTAGAGTATTCTGTTAAAATGTTTTAAAAAATTGTATTACACGATTTGTTACGTTTTGAGATTTCTAGCATTGTTTTAAGAATATATATTATTTGTTTACGAAAATAAATGTTTTAAATATAATTGATTAAATTGTTAAATTTTTAAAAGTTTATTATAAATCAAAGATTTTATTAGTATATTCTTATTTTTTATTTTAAAAGAGATTGTATTCTTTATGTAAATGTAATTTTGTGTATTTGTTTTTTATCGTAATGTATCTTTTAAAGCAATTTTTATGATTTAAACAAAGACTTACAAAAATAATTGCGTTTTCAATGAAGTTATAATCGTTAAAGTTAATAAAACTAATTATGCAACAAACATATAAGTAGATTCTGGTTACTAAACACAAAAAACGCATACAAAGTAACTCGCGGATGAACAAGCATCGCGCCTAAGGTCACGACTAATATACTTTTTTCTGCTTTAAATACTAATTAAAATTAAAAAGCCCACTCACTAAACATCATCAGCGATATTGCGAAGCAGTTTCGCTTCCTGGTCATTAAGTATTTTTAACCTTTTTAGTTGATTTCTATCTTGATTATTTAATTCCTATAGTAATTCGATGATTTAATTTTTTCATTTGTTTATCTTACTAAGAAGAATCGCTTCAAATATGTTAAACTTTTCAAACTACTCGAAACATAAAATAGGTATTAAAAAATTAACTTTTTTATTTATAAAAAAATTTAGCTTAAGTAAAACTAAAACTTGCAAACTTAGTTAAATAAAGAATATTTATTTCCCTTTTAAACGATCGTAAGTGGTTACTTTATATAAAAAACATCGCTTAATTTTATTTTTTTTGTAATTGTCTCTAATCGGTCCAATTAATCTTCGTCGCTTTTTTTTTTTTTGCTTTTTAAAATGTTCTCAAAACGACTAAAAATCTGGCCAGCTTTTCGCAACTAAATATTATTTACGTGGTCAGCAATCGAGAGCGATCGCTCCCGCTTCCCGACCAAGCCTGTATATATATATATATATATATATATATATATATATATATATATATATATATATATATATATATATATATATATATATATATATATATATATATATATATATATATATATATATATATATATATATATATATATGTATATATGTATATATGTATATATATATATATATATATATATATATATATATATATATATATATATATATATATATATATATATATACATATATATATATATATATAGTATATATAAGTATGGTATAGTATAAATAGTTTATTTTATGTAATATGCTTAATGAATTTTTATAAGTAACAACTTCTTTAATTCATTCAGATCCTTCGAATTGGATAGTCTGTGATTCAAAATTATGATAAAGTCAATGATAAATCTTTAAGTTTAATGTAAGTAATATGTTTTTTCTTGTAATAATTATCTTTAAAGTTATTTTAATTATATAGGTTTTTTTTCTTTTTAAACTTATTTGTTTAATACTTTACAATACTCAAAATAGCTACCTCGTCAGTTGAGCAAGAAAAAAAGATCATTTAAGATTTCCCTATATATATATATATATATATATATATATATATATATATATATATATATATATATATATATATATATATATATATATATATATATATATATATATATATATATATATATATATATATAATATATATATATAATATAATATAATAGCATATTTTTATTTTTTAATCAATATATATATATATATATATATATATATATATATATATATATATATATATATATATATATATATATTACGTCATAAAGTGTATTATAAATGTTCTCTTTATTCCTTTCTCCTTTATTTTTACATACTTTACAATTTTTTTTAGGTTTAAGACTGTTTACCTGATTCCTACGGCAAAAAAGAACTTTAAAATGCTGTTGCCAATAATCTAAAGCCCACACCTGATCTAAAAGAAGGTGAATGACGTCAAGTGTTCAAACAGTCGATTTTTGAAAATTAACAAGTGGAGGAAGAAGTTTAAAAAAACTTATAATTAATAAAACATGGCAAACATATATTATTAAAAATTTACGCAAATTTTTATTTTTTACTTATTCTCAAAAAGTTAAGTGAAAACATAAGTTTTAATCTTACGTTTGAGTAAAGCCATGTAAAGACAAAGATTATAGACGTCGAACTGATGACGGCTAAATTAGGTTATTTAAAAACATAATTTGGCGTGTCCATTTAGCACTTGTTCTGAACGTCCTAAATTCACATCTTTTAGACGTCTGAAAAACACGTCTTTATTCCGTCCTAAAAAGACGTCCTAATTACGTCCTAAAAAGACGTCATCTGGCGTTGCCAATTAGAACTAGTTCTGGACGTCCTAAAAAGACGTCTTTTCGACGTCATATGGACGTTGCCGTGCCCACTGGGTAGTTATCTTTTCATTATTTGTACTAGTGGTGGGTTTTTCTCCCAAAAAATTATCAAATGTTTTATTTGATTGCACAATGTTAGAAGCAAGAGAGGGTTTGCCTACATTAACAAAATATTTGTTAAACTCTTGGCATATATTTGTTGTACTTGTTATAATTTTTTTATCGGAAATTAGTTTTTGTGGTAAGCAAGTGTGCTTCTTTTTCTCTCTTCCTGTTAGTTCATTTATAACAGCCCAAGTCCTTTTTATGTCGAATTTATGCTTGTCAAGCTGATTAGAAAAATACCTTATTTTTTCTTTTTTCATACTATGTTGAAAAAACTTCTTTATTTTTTGATTTCAAAAATTTTACGTAAAGTATTTGTTTTCTTTTTGATGCTTTAATTAAAGTTACTGTCATCTATGGATTCTTATATTCTTTGTTTTTTATTTCTATAGTTATTTTCGGGCATACATTATCAAAAATATTTTGCAATGTGTTTGAGAAATGGTCGAACGCAATGTTAGGATCTGTTGATGAGTATACTTTATCCCATTGTTCTACTTGTAGTTTGTTTTTAAAATTATTTAAGTTTTTTATAGAAAGATTTCTGTAAGTCACAAAGCATTTTTTATTGTCGATATTAGATAGTACTTCGCGTGCAATATGGAAAACGGGAAAATGATCAAAAAAGTCTGCAATAATGAGTACTGATTCAAATTTAGTATTTAGGGAACAGTTTGTTAAAATATTGTCAATCACAGAAGATGATTGATTAGTAATGCGCGTGGGTTTAAATATGGTGGGTATTATATTAAATTCAAATAGTAAATTGAAAAAGTTTTTAATGTTTGCAAACTTTTCATAACTTAATGCGTCCATATTTGTATCTCCGGCAAAAAAAACGTGCTTGTTTTGTTTACTCATTTGAGACATAAAAGTTTTTAAGATATTAAGGAAGTTTACCACATGGTAACTTTTTTACCACATGGCGGTCGATACAATGTGGAGATTAAAAACGATTTACCAGAAGTATTTAACACTTCAACGCACAAATTTTCAATATGTTTATTTGTTTTTGAAAAAGTGCTGTTTTTTTAAAATTCAAATTTATCAAGAATTTACACTGCAACGCGACCTCTCTTGCTGTTACACGTTGACTTATCATTTTATATGAAACTCAATTGTATAGGGAATTTTCTGACATGGGCAAGTTTGCATCTTCCCAAGATTCTGATATACATATTACGTCAAATAGAAAATTTAAAGAATAATAAAAATGTTTAAATGATTCAAAATTTTTGTTCACTGACCGTATATATATACTTAAATTGTTTAAATCTTTGTTAAGCTTTTTTCTCTTAAATTCTTCCGGTTTATAGTATTCATTATTTAAGCATTTAATATCTATTTCAGTCAAAAAATTATAATCATTTTTGTTATATTTCAAAATTTCAAAAATTGGAGATATTAATTTTGTTAAATTTGCTTCATTGTTATGAATTGTTTTAGATATATTCATTGTTAATATTATCTTAAAATGAAAACCTTAAAATTTAATATCTAATGAAACTATTAAAACGTAAATAAATAAATTACTTGCTTTCAACACCTTCGTTCTCGTTTATCATATCTCTTACCACTAATCGATTATAAATGACTTTCGCGTATTTTCCGTTACCACGATGTATTTTAGCTTGTACAAAAAGTTCTTTACGAATTCGCATTGTTTCATCACTATAGTCTTCGTTAATATATATATATATATATATATATATATATATATATATATATATATATATACTAAATATGGAATGGTGACATCAATGGAGTTAAAAAATGCCACCAAAACAATCCATCGAGACTATTACATTAAGTGGAAAACAACGCTAAAAGGGAAACCAGTGCGAGATTGATTCAAGTTTAAAAAAATCGATAAGAAATTAGGCAGCCAGGCAGAGTGAAATTTTAAAGTGCATCTTTGTGTAATGTAATTCTCTTCTTAGCATCACGCTTTAGAGGTATATTAGTAAATGTTAATTATTATATTTATATTTATGTCATAATTTATTTTATTGTACTTAAACAGAAAATCATGGTTTATATGTGTAAACATGTATTATTACATGTATGTATTAAAATTGTCGTTTTAGACTCTTCAAAAATGATCAATGATGACGAATGATCAATGATAACAGCAATTTTCTTGCAACTCTAGAGCTACTCGCAAAGCACAACAAGACCCTTTAGTTACATTAGAAAGAGGTTTTCTGGTGTCAACATGAAGGTAAACAAATTATTGTGCATTTTTTGACTTGGAGTTCCCAAAATGAATTTATAAAAAAGTGCGGAAGAATCGTCAATGGTGCCATCATTAATGATGCGCATATAGTAATTTACGTCTCTTATACTGAGCAAATTGCATTTGTTCTCCGCTTTGTTTACAATGGTATTGATAAAAGACAGGTAGTTAAGGAGCGCTTTCTTATGGTCGAAAATCTTAAACAAAACGAAGTTGTGGATATTGCCAAGATAATTATGGATTTCTAGGATCATAATGACATCTACCTGAAGAACTGTTCATGTCAAGGGTACAACAACGGTGCTAACATGTCTGGTGTGTACGAAGGAGTAAAAGCGATCATCCTTCAGAGGAATCCTGAAGCTTTCTACATGCTACGCAGCGCTCATAACCTTAACCTAGATGTTGATCATTCCCTTGAATCTTCTGTAGAAATGAAGAACTATTTCGGCCGGATTCAGTTACTCTACAAACTTTTTAGTGGAAGCCCTATACAATGTTAAATCTTGACCAAGAGAACTGGTTTGTCTAGTCATTAAAACTCACAAAACCGATGGAGTGCACGGTTTGAGACTTTGAAGCCGTTGGTTAAGCAACATAGAGAAATTATTTTTCTTTGCAAAAACTTTAGGAACTTGATTTAACTGCTGATCTATTGAATGACGTAAAATCTTTGGAGAAATGGATTCATTCATTTGAGTTTATTATCATGACAACCTTCTGGTTCGAAGCGTGCCAAGCAATTGTCAGCGTGTCATTTCAATCAGGAAACATTACTTTAGATGAAGAGATGAAGCTTATTAGGGTTCCTATCGAGGATCTTATGAATTTAGATATTCTTGACCCGAATAAATTAATGAAGCACATTTGGTTTTTTTTTTTTTTTTTTTTTTTGTCTTTTATCAAAGCTTTACAAATACGTGATCATAAATATAAACTAGTTCGTTTACATTGTATAAAAAAAATACCGTACATATTATAAGAAAACTTTTTTTAATACAAATAATAATATATATAAAAAAGTAACACTGTTAAAAGACGCGGGAAACTTGCAGAAGACCATTTTGGTCTTGTCATCAAGAAACCGCTTTTAGTTGCGATATTTTGTATACTTAATTTATTAAGAAATTTCAGATTGTCAAAGTCTCATGGTGGCATAAGAGTCACACTACTACTAGATAGTCAAAAACAACAAGCTACTAGATAGTCAAAAACAAAAAACGGAAAAGAGCTGTATTTGATACACATAAATATATAGTTACATGGTTTGTTATACTTAGTATATTGACATGTACGAAATATAAATAAAATCTAACATATACTTTGCTTTAAAGTGGATTTTTTAGGGGTTTTTAGTTATTTGTTTTAATATACGTTTGTAAAATTGTTTAAGTTTAGAACAAGTTTTTTTAAAAGTGTTTTCAGAGAATTATGGTTAAGTAGTTTTGTAATTATAGTATTTTTAGCTATTAGTTTGTTGTAGAGGTAAGGGCCGCGATACGAGATGGAGAAACGTGATAGTTTTGTTATTTTATATGGTACTTTAAAATTTCCTATTCCTCGAGTTTCATATTTATTTCTATTGCATTTAAAAAATTCTTCTGAAAAATGTAATGGGACAAGTCCGAGTTTATATTTGAGCATGAATATCAAATTTTGGTAAATGTTAATTTTGTAGACATTTAGTGCATTTAGAAGCTTTAGCAAAGGTTCGGCATGAGTAAATTTATCTTTATTAAATACAATTCTTGCAGCATGTTTTTGATGTCGATAAAGTGCCACTAGGTTGGATCTATGGGTACTTGCCCATGCTATATTACCATACGTATAATAGGTTTGAATGAAGGAGAAATAAAGTAGCTTTAAATTTTTTTGGGGTAGCATCGGTCTAGCTTTGTAAAGCATGCAAATGTTGTTTCTTATTTTGGTATTTAATAAGTTTATGTGAGCTTTCCATGAAATATTCTCATCGATAAGTATTCCTAAAAATTTTGTTGCTTTGGTTCTTTCGATAAGTTTATTTTCTATTTTTAGAGACGGTAATGGAATTGGTATAGATTTTTTCCTTTGATTGGTGTGAAATAGAATGTAGTTGGTTTTTTCTGTACTCAATGATAATTTGTTAGATTTAAACCAAGTATTAAGTTTTTCAAGTTCAATACCTGCAGTTTCGAAGAGTTCTGCGATAGAAGTAGATGAATAAAATAAGTTTGTATCATCTGCAAACATTATGGCATCAAGTTTTTTTGAGACTTTTGGAAGATCATTGATGTATAGCAAGAAGAGTAGGGGAGCTAGAATGGAACCTTGGGGAACTCCGCATTTTATTTTAAGTAATTTTGAATGGGTATTTTTATCCATAATAACACATTGCTGTCTGTTTATAAGAAAGCTCTCAAACCAATGTAAAGCAACATTTTTAATGCCATATTTTTCCATTTTTTTAAGTAGTATAGCATGATCAACAGTATCGAATGCTTTTGATAGATCAATAAAGATTCCTAGAACAAATTTGTTATTATCAAAAGAGTCATTTATTTTATTTACAAGATCTATAATCGCATGTTCGGTTGAATGTTGTTTTTGAAATCCGAATTGTTTTTTATT